TCTCTCTCTCTCTCTCTCTCTCTCTCTCTCTCTCTTGTGTGTGTGTGTGTGTGTGTGTGTGTGTCTGCATGTTACGTAACCAATCGCCAAACATCACCCCAAATCCATCCATATCCATCTAGAACTGAAACAACTGCAACGCTAGCTACATTTGTGATGTCAAGCACCAAATGCCACCACTCATCCAAGGGCCACACTTGCACATATGAATGTGTCAAGTGTATGTGTGAGCGAGTGTGCAAGTCCGCACCTTACAGACACGTCCACATCAAGCTGGTTTTTCAACTGCCTCAGCACATTTTCGACTGCCTCAGCACAGCAAGCTGGCTCTTCGACTGCCTCAGCATAGAAACAAGGACATCATCACACAGTCGGCCACTACCATCTTCACCCGAGTAGAACAGCCCATCATTATTGCTGTATTTGGGGGAGCTTTCAGTCCAGCTGCATCGATAATGACCAGGTATTCTATTTGGGTGAAGACGGTAGTCTCCATACAGAAAAACCATCTCTGAGACTCTCGTCTTCTCAACTGAAGAACAAGGGGCAGCGGAATGGTATGTGTGTGCTCTGAGCAACAGCAAAACTGAGCTCAAAGTAAAATGAAGCACCCGATACACGGTGGCCCACATGGCAGTAGTTCAAATAAAAGCAGCAACAGAGAGACACACAGAAAGAGGGTAAGATGCTTTTGCAGCAAGGACACATGCAGCATGACACGAAAACGCCGCACTGCTGTTTTCAGAAAAGATTCAAAAGACATTTTAACATTTGCATTTGCAACAGCGGACAACCCTGGTGCCACAGTTACTCCCAATCAGGAGGGCAAAAAAGGCACGTTTAGAAAGTGCAGAACCATTACGGGCTTCATCTTGCTCGGTGGGGGATGACCTGCCAACTTATCTCAAGATTCGATCCTTCATTCATCAAGGACTGTCCAACAAATTTCGAAGGTACCAGTACTGCCACCTAATACCTGTTGCTTCTCCACAAAAATGTGAAGGACAAGTAATCATAAAACTTCCACCGCCACTATACACCCCCTTTTAGGGCGGTCGCCTGCCTCAAAAATTTGCGCCACCTTAACACACTCAGGAACCCACTATACCACAGCCTAAGGGCTACGAACACAGGCCCGGGAACCCACTATACCGCAGCCCTAGGGCTGCTAATTCCCAACCTGGCCAATTGAGCCAAAACAATGGGGGCAGACCAATAGCAATAGGGAGAAAAAGATGCATTCCTTCAAGGCCATCAATTTTTTCTGCCCTCAACAACTCGTTTTCTTCTTTTTTTTTACCTTTTTTTTTTCCCCACCCTATTTTCTTCTCTCTTTTTAGCCCTACAACGCAGACAATGGATCACCTCTATTCAGGAAGAGCAGCTACTACCCCAGACAAGCAAGGAGTACAAGAGCCTATTTCCATACCAAGGTAATACTAGAGTCCACATCTAGGATCTAGGACTAGGCTCTAAGGCCACGTTAAATTTACTAACCAGAACTAGGCTATCCTAAGGTTATGGGTCTACATCTACCTATCTCTGCTGAGAGTGATCTGTGCGGGGAGCAATACCCAAGCTCCTAACAACTGGCGCGGGCTGGAAAGAACCACTTCCACAACCAGCCAAGAGGCCCAAGCCAAAAATCTCGGCTGGTGAACCCGAAGCATCCCCCAGGATTTTTGTTTTTCTTTTTGTTTTCTTGGGAAAGATCGATACTCAATCTAGGTTCCTGAGCTTTTCCAGATTTTTTCAACCATTATTCTGATCACGAGAAAATTGCCAAAGTAGGTGGCATCCAACATTTCACAACAAGTTGCCGAATGCCTGTGGCCAAGCCTAAGCCTATTAGTCACCCTCAGATCTTGAAGATCGGGTGGCCTAAAACGTTCCACACTTCCGAGACTTTGGGCCTATTTTTGGGGCCTCCAGCCACGTTGTAGGACCGGTCCTACCCTTTTCAAAGGTACCAGTACTGCAAGCAATTAGCTGTTGGTCCACCAGTCAGCCTAAAACTCCCACTTCCACTGTACCCCTTTTCTGGCGGAAATTCACACCGCCTTGACACAGACACAGCAAACCACTATACCTCAGCCTTAGGGATGCGAACACGCTTCCCAAGCAAACAATGAAATACCTCAAGAAGTGCACAGCACATAACACACTTCACAGGAAAATAATTGAAAAAAAAGGCAGCGTAGGCAGCGATATGCAGCCGGGCTTACGCCCCATGGCATACTCATTGTTGCTAAACTCAATGCTTATTGATTCGATCTCCCATTCATCCATCCGTCCACCCATCGAACTCAGTGCCGACCGTGCCTATCAAATAGCCACAACATAATTCTTATAGCTAAGACACTGAAAAGACCAGGGTACTAGAAGATGGATTTGTCAAAGAGACAATCGGGCCTTTCCACTTCGCTGTGGGGATAACATCAGTCACAAGTGGAGCTCCGTATGCACTTCCTTCGTTGTTAGCTGAGCTGCCCAGGCCATGAGTGTGTCTTGCTGACATTCATCAATGGCAAAGGTGCAAGTATAACAATTCTGCGAATAGATAGAATATACATGATCAAGTGCCTTTTCGTATTCACTGCGTGGAATCCGAGGATACTTTTTCCTCCAACGCTCTTTGTGCAAACATTGACCATGAGACAGCAGACACATGTCAGAAACAGGAAAGAAAAACAAGCAGACAAAACAGACAGAAGCTTCTGGAAGAGTCCGCACACCACCATCCTAGAAGTTGTGAGAAGGCACGCTGGTTAAGGATGTACTATATAGTATATAGTTTGTTCCCATAGAGTAGCAGTACTCACCTTTGAGCCAGAGTTGAGCTTCTCCCTTCTTTCCTTCCTGTCTTATATTCTGCGCATCTTTCAACTCTCCCGTCTACTTGCACCTTCTCTCATTGTGTCTGCCCCTGGCAAGTCTGTCCAGTCCTTTCCCGTCTTCTGGCCATACATCCTCCGCATTTGTCATATTATACACTCAAACGCTGCTCTTTTCCCTAGGCGCCACACTTGCCGTTCAGAAACCTTTATTCCTAGAGATCCTCCTGCTCCTGCTTTCCACAGCACCTTCCCTTCGAAGCTTCATTGGATCACTTTCTTCCCCTTCCATATTCCCTGCCTTCTCTCTTTGCAAGCCTCCTCACCATGAATTGCATGATTCAACCTCCTCCCTTTCTCTACCTGGCCGCGAGCGGCCCATGCAGGCACTTTCTGCTGGCAATCTGTCTGATCCCCTTGGTCCTAAAAATCTTGACAACTCTTACCCGACCGGATGACCACGATTCAAACCTTGGGGACGAGGATGGCAGCACTCCCCTCAGACAGCCCTACTGCCAATATCCACCACTTTCCGGCTGCAAAAGAAGCAAACAGAAAAACAAGTGACAGAGAGACGAAAAACAAGTGACAGAGAGACGAAAAACAAGTGACAGAGAGACACTATGAGAGAAACGCAGAACCAAACAGAAAAAGACAAACGAAGTGCGAGAATGACAACATAAACTTTTTTGAAGTTTTTTTTTCCAATTTATTCCCATACTCACAAACTATGTAGCACACCGAAGATGTTCGGAGCTTTCACGAACGCCCCAAGACGTTCAGTGTTCAGCCGAACGCCTCCCGAACGTGTTGGGCCAATTTTTTTTATTTTTATTTTTTTTTTAACTCGTGTTTGGCTAAGTATTTGAACATGCCTCCCAGGCAAAAGCTGTTTGTATTATTATTTTACATAACATATATATTTTTTCCAGATGTTTCTGAGATTTTTTTTTTTTTTTTATGTTTTGCAATCGCGTTGGGAGGGTTTTGGTGGCTCATAGAAGGTTATTTAGTTTTGGAAGTATGGGTCCCAGTATCTGAGATAGAATAGTATGATGGAAGGTCAGTTCAGGACTTTCCGCAGGCAGGTCCCCGTAACCTAAGCTGGCTGATGCTGTCAGTACTCCGGGTTGAATTGCGAGGTCCCCGGCCTCAATTATCCTTTACAGTGGAATGAATTGTTTTGATTAAAAAAAAAAAAGAAACGATTTTGACAGCGAGTTTGTCGAATTTTGCTGATAGTGTAGGTAGAGTGGCTCAATGGCGTACAATTGATTGAGATTAAACTAGGATTTTTGCTAGTTTTTTGGAATTCGCAATTTTGTAGACCGTTGGTATTTCTGCACTCTGGAGGCTGCGGTCCGGGATGGGCTTGGCCGCAAGTGACTCGCACAGCCTCGTATGGACGTGGCAAATATCTAAAGGACATGGGGACCTGATGACTTTCAATCCCAAAATTTGAGGCAGTTTTCACGTCACATTGCAGAGGCCCGCTACCCAAACGTACTTTTTGGTGACCCTTTTGTCAGCAGCCTGCCGGGCCGCGGAAGGACCCCTTTTTGAGACCACCTCCAGAGGTGGTCTCAAATTACTTTCGAATTTTTTCTTTCCCATCACGTATTTCAAGAAATTTGTTCATGAGCAAAACAGCCATGTGTTCATTCAGCATTGCAAGACCAAAAACTCATGGCTGAATGCTGAATGAACACATGGCTGTTTTGCTGCACGTAGCAAAACAGCCATGTGTACATTTTTGGGTGTAAGCACTGTGACTACGTGCATTTCCTGGGACGTGCAATGCAAATGTCAGGGCTGCGACTGTGTCCTTTCTGGACAGAGTTCTTAGCGCGTGTGACCACACGGGTACCCAAAGTCGCAAATTGGCCAAACGCCTCAAATATTTGCAACTTTAGGTCCCCGTGTGAGTAGGGACACCGGAGCTGCTTTCCGGCTTATAATGAAATGGTTACTTTCTTTCGGGGC